ATAATATAGAATTGACTTTAAATGTTTCTTGTAGTTTGATGGAAAGAACATTGAATCTCAAGTCCAATAGCCATGGTTTAACCCCTGATTCTGACACTACTTGCTATTTCACATTAGGCAAGTAACTTTGCTTCCCAGTTTTCTTACTTGTGAAAGTGCAGTGCACCAACACACTCCCCTTATCTAGAGTTAATCAAAAATGTAAAGAGTTTGTTTCCATTTTTTCCTTTCCTCATATTTTTCTTTCCCCTCCTCATAAATAGGGAAAGAACAAGGCAATGGGGAAAAAATAAGAACCAAGTTACATCATGTTAAAGTGCAAGATCCCAATGATGAATGGAGTTGTAATTGTGTACCTAAAATGTACCAAGAAGTTAATGGAAAAAATATCAGCTCCCACATGACCTTTACATATAAATCTCCACAAAGGTAAAATTTTAAATTTTGGAAAATTCGTATTTAAATAACATCATGTTGTCCCAGTACATTTTCTCATTCTGGTTAGATACATTAGTGAATAAGTTCTATTTAGTCAGGCAAACTTATCTCCAAACTATGGTGGAAACTGTTCTGACAAATATGCATTGAATTAAATATCCAAAAATTGTCTACTTTTCTTATTTATAGGATGCACAAGTCATCGACATGTAGTGCTGGTTACAAGTTTATATGTCAGTGCTGAATCAGACATGGAACCAAACACAAATACTGCAAAACTCTGTGTATCCTATTGTAATACATAAATATTTGTGCGTGTATATGTGTAATTATGAGCCATATCTCAAAAAATTATTCACTAATCATTTAAACTGGTAATATGAGTCAAGGCATGAGCCATTTATGAAGTCATTTGCAAGGCCATGAGCAACTCTAGGTGGAGGTTACCTGGAAAGCCTATATTATTTTATTTATTTAATATACTTTATTTAATTTACAACTTTAGACTAATGTTTTGGTACTTGTTGCCAAATACCTGTAAGTTTTTCTCAGTAGTAGTGGTTTGTTATTTGTAAACATGGACAGGGGATGATCATCAATATAATTGAGGACTGGGGCCTCTAATCATTTAAGAAAGTAAAATTTAAGCAATATCTTCATACTTGAAGAGTGTTTTCTCAACTTGGTTATTTCTGTACATTTTGTATGCATGGAGCATAAATGGACCAAAGTCATCTCATTTACATTTTGATTTTTCTTTGTTTTATTGTGCCTTTTAGTGTCCCGTCTTTATCTATTAATTATTGTTCTAGGCAGGTGTGGCAATCAATTAGATTGAGTTATTTTGCTAAAATTGTATTTGATAAGCCAAATTATAATTTCAGAATCAGTGGATGGAGGAGATGATCTCTTTGATATTGGCTTACTCTGGATGAGAAATTGCCTTGAATAACCTGTGCTCATTTACAACTGCCCTATGCCAATGCCATTTTGTATGTGGCACCTTTAAAGCAGCTAGAAGTTTCACATATATTTTAAAGGTAAATCCAATGACAAAATGCTCTGAGGATATGAAATAATGACACCTCCATATTAAAGTTATTCCTGCCTGGCTACTTATTATTCAGACATGATTTGGAGAGGAAGCAATCACTCAGCTTTTCTTTTCTATGCCACTGAGCAGTTGCTTAATCAAAAGAGATTACCTGAGGAAAAGAATGTTCTATCTAAGGCTATGTAGAATGGTGTCAGCCACTTTTATTTTAAATAAAGGAATGATATGTGAATTATGATTTTCAATTAATTGGTGTTTCTCCTCATTTGTAAAGTTAACCAATTTAAACTGTAATTTTTTTGATACAAAACAAATAGGAAAGCTGACATTCAAATGTTTAACCTTCCAGAGTACCTTCAGCTGGTTCCTACACTGCTTTATTAAAAAAAAAACTGCCAACTTTTATGATTAAACCTATTTTTATTAAGCCTATTATTACAATAATTTTGAATATTTTCCTTTTATGGTAGCACAGCTTCAATCATACATGATTTTTTTACAGTTATTCCTGTACCAAAGAAGCCTTCAATTGTTATTATTGAAAAGGATTTTTGTTCCACTGAGTGACTTTACAGCTATCCAACCAATTCATTTCAAATTTACATTCCCTGTCCTTGGATGCCAAAAAAATAAATTTTACACTTGAGCATTATTGATTTAATAAGTTCAAAAAGTTTGGCACTGAAATGTTTAAAATTAATAGCTCCTTGAGCGTCCTTAATTTGGAGCAGTAACTGTGTTAGTTACAAATTCTGTAGTGTTTCCTTTCAGAAGTTTTGCAGATGTGTTTATGTACATTAAAAGCAGTTTTAGTTTGAGTCCCATAACTACACCTAATTAATTCTGTGTCCCTCAGACTGTTAGTCAATAGTGGCAGGGGGGGATTTGTGGTAGTTGGGATTGAACCCAGGGCCTTTCCACTGAGCTACATCCCAACCACCCTTCCACCCCCCACTGTTTTCTTTAATTTTGAAACAAGGTCTCACTAAATTGTCCAGGCTGTGCTCAAACTTGTGATGCTTCTGCCTCAGATTCCTGGAGTGTTGGGATTACAGAAGTTTGCCATCGTGCATGGCTTATTCAACCTTTTAAAGTCTCAGTTTTATTATTTGCAAAATAGTAACATTGATAACAAAGCAAAATTATTACCTTCCTGGTAGAATAATTTTAAGAAATAATATATTTAAAACATTTTCACAGGACAAGTACATAAGATGCTACCCATCTGTTTTCTATTCCTGTTATATTATTAGCAAATTAAACTAATTTAAAGTTTATATGCAAGATGAAGAAAGTTATGCTGAGTTTCCTCCAAGCAGGATTATACCGCTCCTATGTGTTCCAAAACAGCTAAGACCGGTCTCACTGCGGCGTTTCTCGCTCTACCTTGCAGTGTCTCCAATCACTAGTCTGAGCAGCCCTTCACACGCTTCTGCTACCAGATGTAGACTTGCCTCAGACCTGAACTATCTGGTGTGCTGTGCGTCCTCAGGTAACCAACTGTACAGTAAACCATAGCATGAGTCAATTCTTTAAAATATAAGTCACTTCTGTGTGATATTCACCCATCTCTGTTAAAGCCTATTTCTTCTCTGATAGCATTTAAAAGTAGATCTAAGAAAAAATAATTCTACATACTGAGGGCATCTAAAATTTTTGTAAATACCAATGCTTCTTGAGCCAATAAATCTATTTTAAGTTCTTTTGTCTCCATTTAGTTCTTAGCTGTAGCAGTCTGATAATCTTCCTTTCTAACAATGATAATTAGCCATCAAAACTTCTAGAATTCTCTTGCATCCTACCACACAGGGCTCAAAACCAAAACCATATAAAGGTACCTGTCACTCGACTTCAACCAATTTAACAGATCCATTTGTCAGTATAACCACTTTATACTTTTCCAATTTAACAACAAGAAAACTATTCTTGTGACAACTTTCCTTTACTATTCTTCTATAAATCACAGGATTCAAGTACAAGGATAGCATTTAAATCTTGCCCAATATAATTTATTAATATATATCTATTTCTGTATTATTATTTCTGTATCATTATTATATCTATATTATTTCTGTATTATTTTCTCATGGATTACCTAGATTAGATTATCTTTTTTTCTACCATATCATAAAACTAGGAGCAGAGCTGTATGTAATTGTACATAAAAATGATTTGGTTTTGAGCTATAGCTGAAATTGTTATAAACAAGCAATGACATAAGGACCAGGATTTCAAATGATTGTTTTGATCTTACTTGATTGTATAATGTACAAATCAATGACAAGGATAAATGAGGGATTTATTTCTTAAATGTCTGAGTGTGGCTACATATAATCAACATGTTTCTTAAAGTCTCAAAATAAATTTATAATCAGAAATCAGTTTAAAATAGTTTCATTGGTACCTTTTGTGCATATTATATTAAATTTATTACAGCTACAGTTACAAGACGTTCTGAAGTCAAAAACTAACTGAAACTCAAGAGGGAATTTCTTAAGTACTGTATATTGTCATATACTAAATGGAAATTTGTTTATTAATCACTTATTGAACACTTAATATGAATTCGACCTTAGAGTAAGTATGAAGAATTTTTAAAATGAATAAAATATAGCAATAGAGACTCATAATTTAGGTACTTAAAACATGTATGTACATAAAAATATTAAAGCTAGTTCTATTGAAAATTTACATGGAAATTCTATATGTATATAATTAGAAATACTATATTTTCAAAGTCAGCAATACTGGTTTAGAAATGATCGACATGCTCATTGCAACTATTGGGGCAAAAAAGTTTTAATTTCTGATGTTTCGATTCAGAGACATCCTTGATGGCTCCTGCTGCTCTATTGCTGATTGTTTGTGATCCTCGAATCTTAGGATTCCGCTGGCCATTCTGCTGTGGGACCATGATTCCATCTCTGATTGGAAGCTCTTCCCATCCTGCCTCCACCTACTGCCCAGGAATGGGAAAGGGCTCCTTTTTCCTAGAAATCACTGCTAAAAAAAAGACAGAAACTACTGAAATTATCATAAATGGGAAAATTTTGAAATGTCTTCAGAAAATATCAAGCCCAGCTATCCTTGCAATTCCAATCCATCATCATCCATCCTCTTCTTTCCTGAATTCATAACTCATTTTTCTTTAATGTCTTTGGCATTTGTGCTATTTTATGGCCCTTGTGATGCTGCCCCATTGCTCCTTTAATTCAGTATTACAAATGAAACGTTTTAATCATTTTATAAGCAAAGTGCTATATTAGGTAGATATTATGGGTGAAATGAGTGAAACATAATTCTTGCTCTTAAATAACCAAATATATATAAATAACTGTATATCATAGCAGATAGAAAGACATGCATATAGAAACAGAATAAACAATTACGGAATCAAAGATCTTGTAACTGCAGAAACTCACTTCTTACCCTCTCATACACACTGAGAAAAGAACCAAAATTTTAAGAGCCATTAGTGAAGAACTAGAAATTTATTTGCAATGTGTACAGTGGAGAAAAAGATAGTGAGAAAATGAGGAAAACAAACCTCATCACCGTGATCTGATTTTGATAAGGCTATTTCCTTTATTTGAGTCTATTTACTCATATCTGTAGTGGGGATAATAACACCTCACTCACAAGGTAATAAAAGTAATATGAGATAAAGTAAATAAATTTACTCAATGCCTAGCATATATCAAACATTTAATAAGAAGAGTGTATTGATTATTCACTTCTTGGACAAATGTTATTGAGGGCCTGCTTTGTGACTTTATAGTTCCAAAGCAAATAATACTTAGATGGTTTTATCAATCACTCCTACTATTTGCATTGTTGGGAGTAAACCAAATCGGTCTATGTTTGCATTTCCATATATACATCTCTACCTTCCATAATCATCCAAGATACAAAACGAAATTGAAGACGTTAAAGGAAGACCATTTATTCAGTTATGTTTCTTTCACATATATTTGTACTAGTAAATTGCTAAGCACTAGAAAGCCAACCTCAAATGCCTTCCTAGCTCAGTAACTTTACTGTAGCGAGGTAGGGAAAAAGACACATGAACACAAAATATGATATTGTAAAACAAAATTGTGTTTACAGTCAGACGTGCGAAAGATGACAAAGGAGCACATGAGAGCAGGTGATTAATACTGTTGGAGACCAAGGAAAGCTTTTCATGAGCTAACACGTGAACAGGACCTTGAAAACTTGTCCCTCGCTCCATGTGCAGCAGCTCAGGAGAGAAGGATAGGCAGAGGAGATAGACCAACCAAGAAACTTCTCAGACATGGCCGCCCTGGAGTACTCTTGAACTGCCTTAGCTGTTGTTCTTTCTTGACCGTTCATTTCACTAAAGGGACAGTGTTTTATGAATACTTATTTGACAAGTACAGATTAGATAAAAATGGATACTTTTCCTATACTCAGAAATTGATCAATTTCTAGGAAAATGGGGGTAAGTCTTGCCTTTTTGGAAAGCTAAATTTTTCTAATTCTTGATAAGCATCTGTAAAATAATGGTTTCTTCCTCCTTGATTTTTCCATACAATTGCCTCTGTGTTTTATTTCCTTTGGATTATTAGACACACTCATCCCTTCCTCACCATCAGGAAGACTGGATAATTCAGCTGATATGGTACCAAACACCTCTATCTCCTATTCTCACCCTGAATTCCTAAAATCCAAATCAGAAAGTCAGAATGAAGCTGTTATGGATTCAGTGACACTGGTAATCACTGAAGATTACTTGGAAAAAATAGAATTATCCCACCTGGGACACCTCTCTCCAGACAGATCGATATTCAAATACGTAGTTTCAGTGAGAGTTAATAAACAGGAGATAGTGAGACTCCTGTCACGTTTTATGGAATATTCTATGGGCCACACCAAAAGAGGACCAATGCAAAATCTATCAATAGCTGGAGACAAAGTGACTTTCAAAGCAATGGATATTTTCTCTGATATACCCGTCCCTCACTGTAACAATGAAATAGTATCATATGTTTCTGAAATAGAATGTGGCTGTAGTGGTATGAATTCAGAAAAAGGATGAGCTAATCATCATGTGGCTTTGTTAAAATCATCATTTTTTAGAACAGTAGGATTATATTAAATGTTTTCCTTTGCCTCTGACTTAAATTCAGCTGAAGATACTTCTCAATTGTCAATTTTAAGTGTAAATATAAATTGGTATCTACTCTCATGAAATCTGTAGTAGGCATCATACTTGGAAGGATCTAATTGTATGAAAATAAAAAGAAAAATTTTGAACATTAATGCTCAATTCTTCTAAGAAAAATGACAGAAAAAATTGAGAATATACAAAAAACCTGAAGAGTTTTCAAGAGTTATGAACTGGCCTTCTATTTTCTTATTGACAGTCCATCTACTGAAAATAGATTTATACATAGGGCTAAAAGTAAAAAGAAGGCAAAACTATAATGAAATTTCAATCAAATCTTTCTCTCTGTACTTTCACATGCTGAATTCTAGGAAGATTAACTATTAATCACTCTACATTTTTCACTCTACCTTTTTAGTGATAATGGTTAAGCCTACCTGTGCAAAGGTATATAAAGGGAAAAATATTTAACTGCTCACTGAAAGAAAGGAAAAGAAAAAAATGAATGAAATCCAATGGCATATCATGTTTCTGACACAATGAAAACTCTTCTAAAAAGTTCTCCTATCAGTTATGGACCAACTTAAGTCAGTCCCTCAAAGATGTTTATAGGCTGCTGTCTTTTTGCGTTTGAGAGAGCAAATGTTTCTAGGATTTCAAGAAGAAAAATAGAAGTTACGTATATAGAACAGGCTGCTGGTGTAGGCAAGCATTCTTTGAAAATCTTGTCATTCCTGTAATGGTCAAACACAGTATAACAGTTTTATAGAACACCAGAAAGATGCCAGGAGATTGCATGGACATACTCATACTGAAAGAGTCTGAAGTCACTTGTGCCAGTCATAAGAGCAACTTTATGGTAGTGCAATGCCTCCCTGTCACAGTTGGCAAGCACTGTGGAAATCAATTAACTGAATTATGACTTGTGCTTGAGAATACGGAGCAAATGACACAAGGAACAACACCAGAGTACAAAGTGCCTTTTAAAACTTTTAAAAACAAATTGCAAAATTGTGTATACCATAGGAAAACCAGGAAAAAATAACCTGTATCCCAAATATACTAAAATATTTAAATGAGGAGCATTTATTTTCATTAAGATTGCTATCACAAGGTAATTCTAAGGTAAAGAAATATTAATAATTCCAGCTATTCTTTTACAGGTCTACTAAAAATACCCTAACATCTCCTCAGAGAGTGAGTGGCCCAACTAGACTTATTTCAAACTAAAGATTAACTTACCAGTAAGTTTATTAATATATTTGTTCATATATATATATATATATATAAAATGAGAAAAATAATAAGATTGATTGCTTTAATAGATTGAGATAAATATATGTTAAATAGTCATTTGAGACTTA